AGAACTAGGATTGGCTATAAAAATCACTTATCTTTAGAGTAAAATGAGAATATTTTAAATATTACATTTTGCAGCTCTAGGGAGTTTCTATAAGGAAAACAGATATCCTCAGTTAAAGAGACAAGTGATAATTTGCCCTGGGGACTCTTTGTTTGTTAGTCAAAATAATGGAACATGACATCTTCATCTTAAAGACATTGCTTCAGTTTGAAAAATCGTCCATAGTGATTGCACAAAAGATTAAAATAATCAATGGATATAGCAATTGACTAAAAGACTGCCAAGAGAGATTGCACAAAAAGTCATATGACTGTCAGAGATTCACATGACAGATTGAAAGTGCATATGACTTGCGTTAGCAGGACCTCTGGTGTTTAAATGTGGGAGTTATTTCCAACTAATCTATAACTATAAATATAAAGCATTGCCCACCGGTCAGAAAAAAAACCATACATGTGGATGTAAATCCTGCAGTAGCACTTTTGACTTTGGATGCAATATGCAAATAAAAATTCAGAAAACTAAGAAATAAGTTAAAGAAAATAAATATATTTATATTTTTCTTCTGGATTGTACTCAGTTGAGTTATTAATTGCTTACATTTTGGACTTGGCTTGGCAATTGAAGCCTTAGTGAACACAGCAGTGTTAAATTCCTCTCAAGATCAGATGTACCCAGCAATAGAGAATAAATTATTTTTTCGGACTTTGTGGGGTAACAGATTGTCTTAGATTGTCCAAGAACATTTCACATACAAGATGATGGATTTTCTGCAACAGTTGTCAACTATGAATGTCTTTTGTCCATCTATGCTTCTAAATTAGTGTTTTTTTACCTCAGGGTCAGGACCCATAATTTAGTCCCTGTTACATTTCAGTGGTCCCAGATAGATGGCACAGGCACATAAGATGTTTCGGGGCTCAGGTGACTGCCTTCAATAAATAGTTTTCTGCAGTTTTGCTATCTTCCTACAGGCAATACAGATCTGTTCCAAATTGGGAAGAGTCTAACAAAAGTGATTTTTAGAATTTACTTTATCATATACTACATTACTACCATCTAGAGTAGACTGTAAGCTCGTTTGAGCAGGGTCCTCATCTGCCTATTGTTCCTGTATCATTTTGTAATTGTCTCATTTATTGTTTATTTCCCCCCTTTCATAATATTGTAAAGCACTGCAGAATAAGTTGGCGCTAAATAAATACCAATAATAATGATAAATTACAATTGAGGAATTTATAATTTTACTAAGGAAGAATGTATCACCAAACTAATGTCATGTAATTGAGCCACTGTCAAATAAGCTTACTTGGTATTCTGCAAACAATTAATTGTGATGGATTAAAAATTATGTATTATTTCTGATAAAAAAAAAAAAAAATTAAAAACAAAACCATTCAAGTCTGATTTAAACTTAGAAAAAAAAGACTTGCACAAAAAAAAAGAAACATTCCTTCGAAGCACAATGTTTATTGCTGGTTCCCCATCACAGCACACAGTATGCTAAGGAGGCCTAATATGTGATCTATAAAACTAATAACCTCTCATTATGAAACCTAGCCTCCTACTTTCATATTGTGGTGCTTTAATAATTTGACTGCCTACATTTATGTACTCATAAATAATAACCATATATAATTGTCCTTTGTTGTTGTCTCTGCATATATATTAATACTGTATTCTACAACCAAAGTGCAATATTTTGCAGTTATCACTGTGATTTATCCAGTTTTGTTCGTTCAAATAATTTACCTGAATTATTTCTATTTTATTACTAAACTGTAAAAACATTTCAAAAATAAAAAACAATTATTAGGGAGGTTAAACAAATACAGAGTGTACTGAAAAGCCTTGAAAAGACACGCAGAAAAACTGGAAACATTTTAAAAAAAGTAAAGGTTCTGGGAGAGAAACTCAAAACAAAGACAGCCATGGAAAATGTGATACTTTTCACAGACATGAAAATTTTGCATTTTAGGCATAGTTTTACCATTGTAATGCCCATGCAGATATTAACTTAAAAAAGACAATTTTCTATTATATGTACCGTAACAGAAATAAAAGCATGAATGAGTGACAGTATACAATAAACAAGTGGGATTGACGCGCGACAGCTGTCTTTTTATAAGATACATGAGTCACATTAAGAATTGTCACAATACCTAAGGGTTTACATACTTCACATTAGGTTAGCACTGGAAACAAAGAGTGCAGTATAATGAATTAAAATGAATAAATTACCTGTTTTCTCTGAATTAAATGTGATGAGTCTTTACCTGGTTCATATACTACATTCTTTGAGGGATCTGCTAAAATAAATTATTCAACTGAAGCTGTAAAAAGGGCAGAGGAGTCTGAAGACCAACTTTAAAGGTGATGGGAGAATAGAATTTCAGGAAATTGAATCCAGGTCATAAATTCAATTACTTAATGACCGCTATTTTGTTTCAGTTAGTGGTTCTGAAAGAAGAAGGGGTGGTCTTTTAACCAGCAGAAAACACAATTTGTCAAGGGAAAATCTACACATGGTTGGGTAAACAAGATACTCTTTTAGTGAACTAATGCTTTAAAAGCTATATTATCAGGAAAGATATCAAAATACTCCTTGAACTTCAAGTGTCTCAAGTAAAACATATTGTACTTCTTTATTAGGACGTGGTAGTGTGGCCCTTGAAAACTTAAATACACAACACAGTATTATATGAGCCTTATTATTAAAAATAAGTGTTTGTAATGGAGCCTATAGTTTTTCAATGACTGTAAAGCAACAGAGTATAATTTATAATAAGCTAATATAAACACATGAATGCAAATAGGGCATTTCATTGCATAATGCTTAAATAAATGCACATTCACTTTAAACAATGCTCAGAGATACTTACTTATAATTCTTCAAAAAAACAAACAACAAAAAAAACTATGGAATAGGCCCTAATAAATTAAAAATTGGATATACAGCAAAAAAAAAAGGGTAAAAACCGATTTATTCACCATGGTGCACATAAATCTCAAACGAGAATTAAACTTTATGTTTAACAATGGTGATTTTGGATCTCAGAATCCCTTAATGCCTTGTTCAAAGTGAATACATAAGAATAACCAAACAAGACTGAAAGAAGTGCAAGGTCATTGACATAATCTGAAATGTATTGCTAGATTAATAAACACTCAACAATTTGACTAATGCGTGAAAGAGAGAAAATTGATATTTCCTGTAGTACAAAACACAGTGCAATTCTTAAAACAAATATAGGTTATTGTTTTTTTAACATTTATTACAGCTTATAACAAAATAACTGCTTATACTAAAACAATTGTGTCAGGATTGACATATTGTACAATATCCTAAACTGGTTTAACTATAAAATGCAGTTGCTTAAGTTTTACATTCAAATGTATTTTTATCTGAAACTTATTTTTTTAAATGAACCATATAGCTTAAATAATGCATTTTTCTATATTTGTGGGGAAAAAGAAATAGTACTTGGGGGTTCACTCACTAAACCCTGGATATATCACAAAGGAATTACCAATTTAAAAGCAATCTATTGGAGCTAGAAAGATAGCTACACCGGAGAACTCTTCCAATTACTTTGGTACACTTGCAATGCAATTGTCAATTGCTCGCAATTACATGTTTAGTGAATAAGCTCCACGTTTTATATGACTTGCAGCTTTAAAGCAACACTGTCCCATCTGGGAAATTTGCAGAATTTGCAAGGACCCCCCATGGTGACATTGATGCTGGGGGTCCGGTGGTCCGGAGGGGCAGGTAGGGTTGAGTTGTACATACCTGAATCTGTCTCTCGTAGGTACCAGAATCTTCCTCTGGCGGGTCCTCTTCACCTTGCCACGTGTCAATGTCACTGCGGTAATCTCATGCATTTGCGAGAGTACAGCAGTGAGGTCTATGGAGGATCCCGCGCCACCACAGGATCTTAAAGGACCACTATAGTGCCAGGAAAACATACTCGTTTTCCTGGCACTATAGTGCCCTGAGGGTGCCCCCACCCTCAGGGTCCCCTTCCCGCCCGGCTCTGGAAGGGGGAAAGGGGTAAAAACTTACCTTTTTCCAGCGCTGGGCGGAGAGCTCTCCTCCTCCTCTCCACCTCCGTTACGCCCCGCCGGCTGAATGCGCACGCGCGGCAAGAGCTGCGCGCGCATTCAGCCGGTCTCATAGGAAAGCATTTACAATGCTTTCCTATGGACGGCGCTCTCACTGTTTTCACAGTGAGAAACGCATGCCTCTAGTGGCTGTCAATGAGACAGCCACTAGAGATTAGGGGAAGGCTTAACCCATTCATAATTATAGCAGTTTCTCTGAAACTGCTATAATTATGAAAAAATGGGTTAACCCTAGCTGGACCAGGCACCCAGACCACTTCATTAAGCTGAAGTGGTCTGGGTGCCTAGAGTGGTCCTTTAAACAGAGCCAATTCCCTGCTGCTGGTGGGTGGGGGGGAATTGACACTTCTATACGACGGTAGCTCCACCCAGTGTCTAAGGAAGTCAGGCGTAGGAAAAATACATAAGGCAAAGTATTCCTTACTTTGTCTTATGTTTTTAGTTAGAAATAGGTGAAAAAGTAGAAAGAGAACGACACAGCAGGAAATAGAAAGAGAAGATGAAGTGATTGGGAAACTGTAATTATGGCGTGACAGTGCCACTTTAAAAACAATGCATTTCTCATTAATACAGTTTAGTAGAAATTATTTATTTAGCAAGGAAATTCACAAGACACAGATAGGTGTGTACAGCACATTGCTATGTGCTTTGGATAGTCATACATTTGTAGACTGTGACAACACATTGCTGAAATCATGCACAGAAAATCTGATAACGCTACTTATATTTCAGGCTATATATCTGAGAACCAAAGCATACAATCTCCTCTAAGAACTGTGTGACAGGAATGGCCAAAAGTTGATCCCCATATGTTGCATAACTACTGTTCTCATGATGCTTTGATAACCTAAATGTTGGGAGCTGTAGTTTTATAAGATCTAACAATATACAATTTTGCCAATCCCTATTTACTGATTGATAATCCATTTGTGCACATTTCCCATGATGCTCAGTCAGCCATAACAACTGAAGTGCCAACTGTTTGATACCACTGCTGCCCTAGAAAGTTTAAAAGTCACTTTGTTACTAATAAATACTTTTTCTCCTTTCACATGTATTGCAGGTGCTTTGGTGAAATCCTGATTTTCTGGAAATTATTCTGGCCCATTTAAAGCTTGCGGTGTAACATGGAACATTCTTAACAAATGGATTACAGTTACAATGTGATATGCTTGAACTTGGGGAACAGCAATAGAACATAATTCCTTCTATGCAGCACTTCGTATAGTACAATGCTTTGCTAACTAGGAGTCAACAAGCATAGAAATGGGCACTCGGGGCACCCCTCTATACTAAAACACTGAATAACCCAGGCACTAAATGATCCCCACACTTTGTAATAAACAAAATAAATACCTATAACAATAATATTAATATACACTGTGTATGGCAGTGATTCACTCAAACAATGAGAAAATTCCACAGTGATTGCCACATTTTGCTCTAAATAAGACAAACACCTGTGACAGCAGTGAGAGTAGTGATCATCTTATTAGTAATAACAATAACAATAATAATAATAATATTAATAATACAATGTACCCCAGAAATGGGAGAGTTATTCCCACACTTGGTTCTATATAAGTACATATGACAATAATAATAATAATAATAATAATTAATTAATAATAATTGATATTACTGGTGTTATAATGTACATGGCAGTGACCCCCCTGATATCACACAGAGCGGTAGGTGTCCATGTGTGAGTCCTGCTCCCAGCTCAGCCTTACTGTGGGCGCAGTGAGTGAGCCGGTCCCCAGTGTCCCATGGAGCCGGGCCGGTGCTGAGCGGGGAATCCGCTGTGAAGAGCCGCCATGGGGGAATCCTGACCCCGGGCTGCCCGCTGGCACGTCCCCCCGCTAGCTCACACTCTGCCCGGGCTGCCAGTCCCTGCCGCCCAGAGCCCCGCCCCCTGCCACGCCCACGCCCCGCCCCTGCCCCGCCCAGGCGCTGACGTCATGCCCGTTGTTTTGGTCCGCCCGACCAATCGGACGCGCTGCCTGGATTCTACGGGTGCAGAGATGGGCCCTTCCTCCCGACCCGAGGACTTCCCCATCCCTACCAGAACGCATTGCGCTGGGTGCACAGCCTGGCGGTCCAGCCCTGACATGGAAACAGCGCTGCAGTGCCAGCACGGCTTCTACCCAGAGCAGCAGCACTGCCCGAGCCCGGAGTCCGCGCACTGCCCGAGCCAGCACTGCCCCAGCCAGCACTGCCCCAGCCCGCACTGCCCGAGCCAGCACTGCCCCAGCCCCGAGTCCCAGCTCTGCCTCCAGCAGGACGGCTCCTGCCTCCAGTGTAACAGCTGCCCGTTCCCCGGGGACCACCTCCCGCTCCTGCGGACCTCTTCCCCCCTCACCGGGGCATTCCGCGCCAGCTCCTCGCCGCTGTCCTCCGCCTCCTCCCGCCAGGGCAGCCAGCTCAACGTGAGCGAGTGGACTCCTGCCAGCCATGCCAGTGTGCCCAGACACCCCCAGTACCAGCAGTGCCCCAGCCGGCAGCAGGCGAGCCCCAACAGCCAGCGCCGGGAGAGCAACCCGTTCACGGAAATAGCCATGAGCAGCTGCAGGTACAACGGCGGGGTGATGAGACCGCTCAGCACCCTGAGTGCCTCCCGCAGGAACCTCCACGAACTGGACTCCGAGTCCCAACCCCTGCAACCCCTGCAGCCCCCGCCGCCCGGATCCAGCGCGGCCCCCGAGATCGTGGTGTCCAAACCCGAGCACAACTCCAATAACTTGGCCCCTTACGGCTCGGGGGTGGCGGGGGGCGCCGGAGGGGGTGGGCTGGGGGGAAGCTGCAGCAGCACAGCCGGGGTTGGGGGGCAAAACAACAATGGGAGTAAGAGCAGCAAGAAGAAGAACCAGAACATTGGCTACAAGCTGGGTCACAGGAGAGCCCTGTTTGAGAAGAGGAAGCGCCTGAGTGACTATGCCCTGATCTTTGGGATGTTTGGGATCGTGGTGATGGTCATTGAGACCGAACTTTCTTGGGGAGCCTATGACAAGGTAAAAACAATAAAATAAAAAATATACATATGATATTATAGCATGCTTGGCTACTTAAAGACACAGAGAGCTCACTCCGCTAGGACCAACCTGTCCCACCAGAAACTTTTTTTTAATGGAAAGGGCCAGGAGATGAATTCTTCTTGGTTTACAAATTTACTATTCCAAGAGTTTAAGAAAACAATCCGTCAAGTTTCAAATGATTGTAATGCAGAGAAAGAGAAAGAATAGTTTTGCTAAGCACAGTACAGTAGAGTATTAGTGTTAGAATGTTTAGAACTCTCAGATAAGAAGCAAGTTGCTATTGTCCTTGTGTTCTACTCTTAGTACTGATTGTGTCCCATGAGAGTAATGAATGACAGCTCCTTTCTCTGTAGCGAAAGTCCTCATTCCCTAGCTCCATAAAGAAAGAACAAAAGTTTAACTGTAGTTACTCTGTCTGCCACAAACTGTTGACACAATTGTCATGCCCTTGATCAACGTATATATGCTGCTTTTTTTCTTTCTTCCAAGATCAATGTATTTCCTTTCTTTCTACCTCTCAGACTGAAACATGTTTCTGTTGCAGGCTTCGCTGTACTCATTAGCTCTAAAATGCCTTATAAGCCTTTCCACGATTATACTGCTTGGTCTTATTATTGTATACCACGCAAGAGAAATCCAGGTAAAGTCTGTTTTGGTTTTGTTTGTTTTGTTTGTTTGAGAAGTAAAACATTTGCAACACTGACACTGTAAATACGTCTGTCATTGCAAGGGTATGTGCTGTGTTGTGGAACCATGTGAGTTATAAATCTAGTATTTACAGTTGGCAACATTCTATTTTATCCTAAATGTAAACAAAACTTTATTAGCACCAGTAGATGTGCACTGTACCTGTATGTATATGATCACTGTGTGTTGTCTAATTTGTTCCATCGTGTTGAATGTACAACTTTCACAGATAACCCAATTTGCTAAGCTTGATTTAGGTCACAAGTAGAGAAAGTTTTTTTTTTTTCCCAAGGACAACATATAACGTCATAAATATATATATACCACCCATATATAATATTCTGTTCATTTTGATTTAAATGGTTGTAAATAATGTAAAAATAGATTATGTACTTCTGTGCATTCTATCTGAGTGAACATCAATTCACGCACGACGTGCTATTAATATGATGTTTCTCTTAAGAGAACCACTACTTATTTTTTTGACAGTTTGAATCATTTTATCAAGAGCTGGGAGCATTACCTAAAGCCTTTTTATGATGCTGAGCTGGAGTACTTTGTGTGCTATAATAAAAGATAGATGTTCAGCTGTGCATAGGAAGAAACAATACGCAAACGATGCTTGTTTAAATGATTTAAGCTGTTCTTTGTGGGTTTTTTCCTAAAGTTTTTTTTTAAATTTATAGCATTTACAAATATTGCATGCAATTTTAATTGTTTAAATAAAGAACTAAAGGATAAGTATGTTTTAAGTGCTTACGTTTTGAGGCTTTGCACGCAATATTTATTTTCATTTCATTTTAATGTTTTGTAGAAGCAAAGTAATGCAGTGCGATCAGAGCTTGCTTTATCAATTAGCAAAACGTGCAATGATAAAAAATGATCAAAGAAATAGAATGCTAATCCATGGAAATGATTTTGAATATTTATAATGGATTTTTCCTTCTGAAATTGATGTGAAACATAGTTGAGTTTTCTATTGCTTTTTAAATCTGGTGTAAAACTATTTTAGGACAAGTATGTTAATTAGAGATGATATTGTAGCGTGTAAAACCACAACATTTGATATGGGAGTTAATTAGTAAGGGTAATATACATTTGTGATTTTAGATCATTTGGAATCCTGGGTTAATGCAAGATATTGAAAGTTTACAACGCATTTCTAAGCTAAGCACTAGCAGCACTTCATTCATTTAAGATCAATGGTTATAAAATATCTGCATATATATCACTTTGCATTGAATTCATTAAGATCTATGACTTTTTAAATGGGTCATGATTAATGGTCAGTATGCATTGCTGCAGTAAGTGATTGTAAAGTTCTGCAAGAATAATAATAATAAAAAAAAAACTAATCGCAAAAGATCCCGTATTTAAACAATGCAAAAATGTACTGAAAAACGTCTCCTTACACCCACAGAACCTTTTATTTTATGCCATCTGTATAAATCACTTTATGTAGAATAGCAATTAATTGGAGAGTAAATAAAGACAAGATAACGGCTTCTGGTATCAATAAGTGTTTTTTTTGTTTTTTTTAATTTATTTGTTATTTCTTGAATGTATCCTAAGCGGGTTGAGAGATGTGCTTAGTAATGCACTGTCTGTATCAGATCAGCAGTGAATAAAGTGTTCTTTTTATCGCTAAGAGCTCTCTCCATAAACCAACATGCTTTTTACCACGATAGAGAATCTCTCTATACTCCATATAAACCAATGCCATTATTCAATCTCTAAGGTTCCATCTATCGATACCCCTTAAAGTTCCAACCATATATCGCCATGCCAGTTAACACAACGTAGAGCTTGCCCCGTATATCCCATTGCCATTCCTCAAAATCTAGAACGCTCTCTATGGATCCCAGTGGCATTCATAAACATTTGGAGTTATCTCTATGTATATCTCACACTGTCATTCAGTGCCAGGTACAGCTCCTTCCATGTATCCAAATGACATTGAAAATTCCCTCCACATATTCCGCCGTTTACAGCACAACCCAGAGCTCCTTCTATAAAGCCCATGGCCATTCAGCACAGCCCAAAGCTATATATCTAGTAGCCTTCAATCCCCACACAGAGCTTCCTGCATACACCTCATACACATTTTAAAACATCCAGAGCTCCTTTATTACATATCATAGTCATTCAGCACCATCCAGAGCTCCATCAATACACGTAATAGCTCTAAAGCTCCATCTATTCATGTAATAGCCATTCAGAACTCCCTAGAGCTCTCTCCATATGTTTCATAGCGACTCAGGACTAGGTAGAACACCATCATATAGCATAATCCCACTCAGCTTTTGAAGAGTTCCCTAATTTACCCCATTCTGCAACACCAAGTATTCTTTTCATGAATCTAGTGCCATTCAGCTGCCCTGCGTGCTCCCATGCTGATTCAGCACCATGGACAGCTCCATCTTTACCTCCCATATCCAAAGCTTCTCCCATACATCGTGTCTATTCAACACCACTTCCCCATAGCTTACGCCCCACCCTTAGTCACATA